TATATATATATATATATATATATATATATATAAAACAATATCAACATACACACACTATCCTACCAAAAGACATGGGACACACCTCTGATTGCAGGAAAATGAGTGTGATGATGAAATATACAAAGGTGATCAGCGGTTCACTCAGAAGTCATTTCGAACTTGTATGCCAAACAATGAATAAACAGAAAGAGCTAAGAGTTTCAGAGGGGAAGAATAGTTGGATGTCATTTGGGGAAAATGTCTGTAGGTGCTTTTGTGCAACAATCAAACCTAGATGAACCAACAGAAGAACAGAAATCAAAGGCAGCTTATTCCAAACTGGCTTGCTATTTGTTTTTGATAAGTCATTTAAAGACTGTGTTGATTACTGTTGATTGGAACATATGTTTATGAATATATGTTTCCATCTCACTATGAATAAGGTCACTTACAATCTCCACTGAGAGTGACTCTGCCACCCCCCAGTTGTTGTGCAAAATCTAGATATCACAGGTGGGATAGGAAAGACCTCATTTGCCTCTGTGCCAAAAATAATGATCCTGGAGTTTATACCATAAATTGGTTTGCCAATCAGAATAAAAAAAATTTTTTTTTTACATTCTTATTAAGAAAATCAGCTATAAAACACAGATAATGTTCAAAGTCTCTCTCAATGATCATAATACTGGGAAACCCATTAACAACGCCTAGTCAAGAAAAAGTGATAACAATATCTGAATGATGTGCTTATACACAGTAACAGGATAGAGGGTGCATTGATGTAGGTGGAGTGTCATGAGATAAATATTGCCAAGGGCAGTTGAGTGGGGTATAAAAGACTGAAGCAAACGAGAAAAAATTAGACCAATGCTTATACAGGCAAAGTAAAAAACCCTGGCAGTCGAGCAATAGCTGTAAGTGGGAGAGGAGGTAAGTATGGTTTGGAATTTATGTTTTATTCTCTATCCTATTAAGTTTCTCATTTTTATATTTCGTTACTTTTATAGCAACAAATAAATAAATGTACCTTAAAAACAAGAAATTTACAATTAAAGTCTGACATTTTGTTTTTTTGCTCTCAACTGAACGAAACTTAACCTTACTTTTGAGTATAAATTGCATAAAAATAATTATTTATATATTTCAATTATGCAACTAAGAGCACAAAATATTAACATGCAAAAAAAACACAATGACCTTAAACTATTATCATTTAACTGGCTTCCCAACTAAGCTATTAGTAGATTAAAATAACACTCTTATCTGGTCAAGGTGATCTTGATGATAGCAACAACAAATCTTTGAGCCAAATAATTCAAAACCTATCTCAAAATGTAACTACAGAAATTAATAAATTGAAATCTTCTCTTTCTGATAATTATAAATAATTAAATGGCAAATATCAGAAAAAATTACTGACATTTTTGAAAGAAGGATGTGATAAGAGAGTGTGTCACATGGATTTTTAATTTATGGATTTATTTCTCCATAAAGCAAGAAGATATGTGGCTATGAAATTAAATTGTCTTTGCACTATCTGTACTATAAATGTGTAATATATATTTAGCTCAGGACATCATATAGGTGTAATAAGAATATCTAAAATGGGCAATTCAGAACAAACTAGGGGGCACTCAGTACAGTGCATACCTCTTCCATGTAGAGTTGATCATATTCAGCCCTCAAAAAATATGAAAAATGTGTCCATATGTCCAACATTATCAACAGACATGAACCATTTTTGGAGGAATAATATTCTACATATGTCCACCAAGTTTTATCAAAATCCAATGATATTTGACAGAATTATAGAGCAAAAATAGTGTGAAAAATTAGTCTTCATGTTAACAGATGGGGATTTTTTGGATTTTAATGACCTTGCTGTGACTTTGATTCTCCAAAAACTAATCACTTCTAAGTTAGATCATGGTCTAAATATATACCAACTTTCATCAAAATCCATTCAGCCGTTTTCGAGAAATCTTGCTGACAAACACATACACACATAAACATACACAAGGGCAAAAAAAACAACATAACCTTCGTCACTTTCCATGGTAGAGGTAACAAATACCATATGATACAGAAGTAAAAATTGAGAAATTATTTAAATATTTCCATTTGAAGTTAAGAAATTCAAACTTACATAATATAAATATTTGGTTAATTAACTATGTACTGATGCCAAATTTATTGAGATAGATTGATAAAAAGGTAGCTTATTAAAATTTGAACATAACTCTGTACAAAACTCATGACATGCACACTTTGATCCCTATTGGTGCAAAGGAATAACAATTATATAATAAACTTAATAAAAACTCAATGTTTTTGGAGTACTTATCAACTAAAATGAGACTACTTCAAAAGCATAAGTATAATCACAAATGAAACCATTCTCTAACCCTCTCTTTCCGACCACGAAGACCAAGAATTCTGCCTCCCATGCTTGTGCCTTCCACCTCTGTTACTGATGTTCCAAGACCTGATGCTGTTCTTTGTGTTTTTGTCTTAAATCCTCTTCTAGGCTGAGCACCTGTTATAATAAAAACCTTATTCATTTTAAAGCACAACTATACAAGAGAGACAAAACTAAATTTATGAGGTAGTCCAAATGTTATTTACGAGTTGTGAACACAACAAAAAATTTCACTGTTAGAACGATTTTGAATTTTCAATAATACATAAAATCTTCATTTAAAATAATGCAAATCTAATCAGTCATGAATGTTAGTTTTATATTTCATTTATTCATACTTATGAACCATAATCAAACATAAAAGTGCTTATACATACTGATTTTCTCCTATTCCTGTTTGTCTTGCCAAAATACAGATTTTTTACTCCTCCTTCCATCCACCAATTACAATTTTGAAACCTTATGTACAACTTATTCTTATAAAAAAAATTAAATGGTTTGTAACCTTTATTGTTAAAATGTTTAAGCCAACAATTATTTGTTACCTTGTACTATCTTAACTATACCACTGTACTTAGCCTGTATCATACCATATTATTATTTTCTATGATTCACACGTGTGAGAAGGGAGGATACCATACATGTAAAGGTAAAAAGCAATTTCATTTTCATTTTATTTCTGAAATCTTTATTTTACTGTATCTCTTTGTGATTACTTTAAGCTAAAAATCTTCACAATGAAACTAACATCAATTGATAGTATGCAGGTGTCTATCACATAGAAAGAAGCAATAATCAGTCATATTACATCTTCAACACAAAGAACTCGGGAGGATAACACAGTCATGAGTAATGCTTACAATCTTCTCCATTAAGGTACAGTCATATAATTGAAGAAAACATATGATTTGTTACATCAGGTTGAACATTATATAACAACATATAAGGAAGTATAAATACTTAGTGGTATTGAATAACTTTAGTACAAACATTCAGCTAAGAGCATGGAAAGGAGATACACATTTCCCAAATGACATCACACGATCTTGTTGTTTTCTCCTAGTATCTCTCATGTTGGATGAAAATGCCTTTCCACTGCTGATCTATTGGTTGCATCAACAGAAAGCATATAGCAATGAGGTATATCTTTTAACAGACTCTCATTTCACTCAGAAAGAAAATCAATGTCAACTATTGCATTGAAGAGAAAAACTGGAAACTTTCAAAGTATTCTCATATGTGCAGTGCATGTTTATAAAAGGTATCAGAATAAATTTGTATACGTAGCATACTATTTATCAATTATTGAAAATACTGAGATTTGATAAGGGCCCCATTTCATTTCCTCAAGCACTAATGTGTAATTTATGTAATTACAATGATATAGATAAGACCAGGGTACATCATACATTATTATGTCATGGGCTGAGAAATAAATACTTTTAGTACTCGATACTGGTGAGCACAAATTTTGTCCTCATAACAACAACTATAGGAGATGAAAGTAAACCTGGACTGGCAGGAAATAAATTTTCCTCAAGCAAACTAATATAGTGAGTGATAAAAGGAAAAAGTAACAATTATTAATGACTGACCCTCACCATAGTTGGTTGATATTAATATTCATCATAAACCATTATCTCCTTTGTATAGTTCAGGTCAGTAGAACACTGATCCAAACTATGCACATGCTATATTTAGCTTTGTCTCCAGTCCTCAAAAAGAAAAAAGACTGAATATCACAGCCTGGTTTTCAGCAGTAAAAGGTGTGTTACAGATGCTGAAAGTTTAGAAATTGGAAGTTCATTACTCTTTTTAAGAAAAATAAAGTTGATTGGAGATCTTGCAGAAGAACTTGTGCATGATCAAGAAGGTTCTAGTTCATTGAGTGATGATGTTACAATTATAGAGGAATTCAGTGACAATAAGAATATTATTTCCTTGACTAGCAGCACAGATGTTGAAGAAAATGTATTTTTATATATAGAAATGAGCAGCGGTTGCTGAGTTCACTATCTTACAAGAAGTATATCCTTATACATTTTAAAATCAATGTAGAAATGTTTGAGAACAATAATGATAATGTTAAACTTTATATAGATTTACTTAGTTATCATGTTTTAATAGCAGTTTTTTGGTTAATTTCATCATTCATGAAGGAGGCTGCAGGGAGCTCCTTAAAAATATTTCACAGACTGATCCTTGCTCTAATGAAACTACATTTGGATTGTTTCATCGTAGACCTTACAAAAAAGATCCAATGTTTTCAGTTCAACCATTTGCAATGTTAACCATAATAGTTTAGAAATTATGTACAATTATTTGAAACTATGCCTAATGTGTTTAGTAACACATCTGGTAACAGAGTTGTCATGACTGTTTTGAGATATATATATTGAGAAGTACTCAGATCTAAAGACATGATAACACTGTTGGTCTAGCTTCAAACACCACCTTACAGCTAAAGTTTTGATAGGTATCATGTCATAGGGTATATCTTTTATTTTAAAAGCATGTGGAAGTAGGACATCCGACCAATGAGTAATGAGAGTAATGTGTAATTTTAAACAAACTCCCACCTAGTGGATTAGTATCAGCTGACAGGAGCTTTACTTTGCATAACAATATTGGCTTTATTGTGTCAAACTAAAAACACCAGCTTTTGCTTTAACAAAGACCTTTGAGGCAAAAGTACACAATTCTTCAGAAAAAACTTTTCATAAACTCAGTTTCAGTGAAGAAACAGATAGAGTTTACAACTACTGACATGACTTTTAGAGTACATAAAGCATTAACAAACTTATGTCCAACAGTTTTGCTTTTTAAGTGAATATATTAAAAAAAATTGTGTAAGGGAGTCTTCCTAATATTTATAAATCATTTTGAGACAGATTCATGTGCATATTTATATACAAAATTACACATTTGTAATCATGATTATTTATAATTATTATACCAGAAACACTGATTGCTTAAATGTATGTAAATTATTCCATGTGTATTGTATTATTTTCATAAAACTTAACATATATTTGAATGTGTAGTGTACTAACACAATTTCTGAAAGATTTATACCAGATCTGTTACAATAATTTGTTACTCTATGTACACTTATTTCTACATATATATAAAATATTTTTCCAAAGCTATTTTGCATAGTAAATTTTAATTAATGAATCAAAGTATTTTACAACCAATAACTTTTTTTTATGACAGAACATTTATAATAAGTTTTCTTTTTATCAATGAAATGTATTTTGTCCTCAAGATAAAATGTATAAAATGTTAATTTGAAATCATGTTGCATATACATGTTCTTATAGGAATTCTATAAAAAAGAAGACATTTTATTAGCATTCAGGAATTTTTATCCCTTAAGAGTTAAGTCACTTATTGGCTAATTTCTCCATAAACAAATACATAAATATTTTTCCATAAGAAATATTTTTTCATTATAAGTCATTAAAGCATTAACAATAGAGAAACATCTAATTTATTAATTTCTTTACGCTACATTAATATAGCACTTAAAAACAGTTTCATGGTCTTGTTAAACCACTCTATTTGTTAATTCTTTGTTTTAGTACGTGACTTCTGTCAACAAAGAAAACAAAACCATTTGCCATAGGATTTATTTGTTAGTTTTAAACAAGCCACATGAAACCTCTAAATACTGAAATTTTCAGCTTCACATTCCATTTTTTTTTGATCCAACACCAACTCTGAAGAAATACTACAGTTCATAAAATTACAGCATTTCTTCTCCTTGGTCAAAATGTAGGTACAATGGTGAACAATTTATAATAACTTTGTCAAATATTTATTGACGTAATATTTTCTCATGTGCATACATGCATAAAAATGTAAAAAAACTTTCAGTTGCTAACTATACTCTACACTAAACTCGTATGACCAATATCTATAAAATAACTGCATATATTAACAAAATTATCCTCTGATGCAGAACATAATGTATTATTTTTCCCAATGCTTTTGGAACTGCATGTATTGAGTTCAGCTATATTATTGAAATCTTTGAATTAATGTGACTAATTTGTAAATTCTAATAATACACATAGGATAAAACATTCATATAATACGATCTGGTGATAAAATATCCATAATTGCAATATAATCTTAAGCCATCATGATGTACATTTGTACTCTTAGAGACTTCGGTAACTGGCACTGACATGAATGCTACTGTACACAAACATGTTCATTGCTGACATAGATATTGGATTACTGAATTACATTACTCAAGTGTAAAGTTCATAATTTTGCTCTTACATAATGTTGCTTATTACATTAAATAAAAACTGCTACTATGTAAATTACTCACATTTTTTTTTTTCTGGTATTGCCCTTGCATTAAGACACAATAAAAAACCACAACACAACATTCACACCCGTATTCAACCACACTAGCACTACACAATCTCCATAATAATTAGTATCTCAACTTCAAAAGAATATTTTGGTATGAAAGTCCACAATTTCAAAACAATACCTGAACTATTAATTCTATTCTGTCAAACTGTGCAAGCTCATCTCTACCTTCAATCTTTATTATTTCCTACCCTTAGCATCTTGACAAACAGTAAATTTCTTAATCTATTATTCAGGTATCTGATGCATCAAATTATACATTATCACATAAACATAGGGTATTCAATTATTCACTGGTTCAAATTCAAATATTTCTACAAAGTCCATGGATAAACAATGGTGTCATATTCTCAGAAACCCTTACATGTGTTATATTATTAGTGACTTCAATCTTGTTTTTAATTCAATTTTTTTTTCCAAAACTTACTCCAAGTTACTGACATTATCATCCATACTTTTCTTTATAAGGGTTTTTCTTAATTGTCATTGGTGATATTTTACCTTATCTCATGTCAATAATCTCTACTCAAGCTGTACCACGAATCATGATGTCAAGTGCTTAATAATGTATAAATGACTAAAATCATTATCACAAAAACATAAACTTTAATAGTTAAAAAAAAGAAAATTCATCTTAGCAGTTAAAAAGACAAGATACCCTCCAACCACAATCTCTTTTACATCTGATACCCATCGCTAAGAAAAATTTATAACCATCCTAGTTTTAAAAGCATTTTGTGCTTTCATGGGTTAATAAGCTTCTTATTGAATAATATGGGAGATGATCAAGTTTTGACTTTGCATTATCAGACAAGTCACTGGCATGAATAGTCATACACACACCACCTACTGAATAATATACAAACTGATCCATATAAAGTTCTCTCAACTTTTTGCATAAGTCATTTTAGCATGCTTTTCAAGAATTAGAGCACAGCTTTATCATTACATTATAGTTTTCATGCTGTAACTTCTAAATTAGTAAGTGATTGTTAACAAAATTTGGTAGATTATCAGTAAACATTACAATGCTTTCATAAGCAAAATATCAAATTTTTGTATTAAGTCTTAAGGTTTGTAAAGTAATGTTTTTCTCATATCTTTTTTTTCTTTTAGCATGTTGCCTATCTATCATGCAAAGTATTATTAATTTTAAAAATAAAAATACTTTCATGCATCAGAAAATTTTGAAATTTCACACGTGAAATCTTTATGATGTCCAAATAGTTATCAAATGTTTCTTAAGAAAAAACTTTATATTTTATCTGTTATTTTTAGTAACTAATCTCTGTACAGGTTCAGTAGATTTGACTGATCTTGCAACTGCCATAAAAAAATTAGGAAATAAATATAAATTATGCCTCTTTCATTCTAGAATGAACACAAATTGTAACACAAAAACATAAATGTTTAGACAAAATAGCTTAAATCTCATAACATTATACATTTATATATATTTATTATTTTTATTATATTGACCTTTTGGCCGTGCCTAGCTAACAATACAGAAGTTACAATGACGCGGCTCATGTGCACTTATGTTAGCGTATCAAATACCATAAAAATGATCTTTGGTCTATACAAAGTAACTTATCTTGGCTGTGTTTTAGTAGACTAGTATTTTGCAAAATACAGTCAAATTTTAATTATTACACATTATATATGTATATAGATTATTGCTATTTTGAAATAAGTTCTTAAACTTATTTTTCTTTAAACATAGAACAGTAACTAAGGAAGTAAAGCAAACAATTATCTCTTCTAGCTACGACCTTTATATTCAGTTGATACTTGACATAGGTTGCTAAGCCTTTAAAAAACTTGCACATGGAGGATATGAAACAAAATATGTTTTTTAGGTTTTATATATGCATTTGAATAACTAAAACTTCATAAATTACTATATTAATACCATAGAACTCCACTATAATTTATCAAGCTTAGTAACTAAGATGTATTTTAGTCTAAAAACATATGAAATTTCAAGCAGACTAAAGACATACCCTATCTTCTTGAAATATTGGTTCAAAAGAAAGAAATGGCACCAAGCCTGTTGAAATGGCTGAGAAAGCCACTAGGAGGACATTCTGAGTTTTATGATTGGTTACTCATGTCATATATAGAAGTAAGTGTATATAAGGGAGTGTTTCCAAGACTGGAAAGAGGTGGGCAATATGCCACTGTGTTTGATATACTACATGAGCAATATCTTAACAAACTGAAAAATTAAGAGGTTCTTATTTTATATTCTAGCATGTCAATATCTGTAATTTGAGTTTCTAATAAATACAAAACTACAGACTTTGTATTTTGACATCACAAACATCAAATCTGAACCAGTGATGCATTCAACATACCACATGACACAAAAATCAATGTTTATCTGTGTTTTTTAATATTTGCTTTTAGATTAAGAAATTGAATAATATATAGTACTAAAATTTGAATTATAATCTACAGTATGATACCAAAGTTACTGATAAATTCATGAAACGGTAGTTCAATAAAATTTTGAATGAGAGTCAACAAACAAGATGATATGGCCTTTCACCCGTGATCATCTCGAAAGAGTTAGAGGTTTGTTTTTATTCAAAACATTGGTGATATAACAGAAAATAGCTTAATTCAGAAACAATTTAAGTTTAAAACTGAATAAACATTTCTACTTTCATGATAAATTTTATGCACTTGGTTCTAGGCTGGGTGATCCCACAATATGTCTTTACTTTAGACTTATTACACCAACACTCACTACACTTGCAAGGTTTCACGGCACCCACCCTCAAGGACTCCTTGCACCCCGTCACTAAAATCGTTGTAAAAAAGGGCAGACAGTAATCTAATTATTCTATCTGGATAAATGCATTTTGGCTTTTATGACTCCTCCTATATCAAGAAATCAAGCGTGAATTGGCAAACAATGACTTTTATATAGGTTAAATTTTGTTATATGCAGTCATAGGTAAGGCTCACAAGCTACCAACTTGAGGAATTTTATGAAAAAAACAAAGAAACAACTCAGAGACCAGGTAACACAAAACATATACTTGATTGAAAAATTCTGATAATTTGCATGTAGATGTCTCATGAGCAATTCCTCTACTATACTTATTAACATCTCAGTGATGCTCAGTAAATTATTAAGTATCTTAACTTCGTCAAGACCCCCTGTCATGATATACTGTATAACAGCTATGTTACTAGATGAAATAGGCATTTAGACACTATACACTAAGACCGACCTCTTCTCAAAAGATTCACTGAAGGGCAGTAGGGCTATATTCTACTTCTTTTCTTCTTGTCTTGTTCTCCCTTTTAAACCTTTTTTTTTTATATATATTTAACTAATAGGGTATTGGCATCATTCTAGATGATACCAAAACTCTAACCACAGCATGTATTTCTTGGCTTTTGATTAGTTGTTAACATCGTTCTAAAAGGAACTAAAACTGTAACTATTGTTCCTGGGTTCCAATTAGTATTTCTCTCATACCAATAAAGTGTTGCATCAGCATTGAGACATACTGTCAATTCATATATTTTCTTTCTCAATTTGCTTATCTGTATCTCTAATGTGCCAGAATCCAGGCCACTCAACCTCTGCCTAGTATGTTTCCTTCCATACACCTCCGCTCTGTAGTGTTCAAATTTAATGTTTTTATTTCATTATCACCTTAACTCTGAACTCTACCCTGAATATGGTGCGAGATATTCATTAATATCTTGATCAATGTTCCCTCTAATTTTTTCATTCCATGTACAAAATGAATTTTATCATGTGCACCAGTATCAAAGCAATGTGCAGATGTGCACTACCAGATTTTTTGTTTTGGAGGGAGGTATTTTTAGACCAACGACCCTATTGGATCACTATGCAGCTTTGCAATGCTACCAGTTGGTTATTTGGGCTTTAGGCCTATCAATTGCCAGGGTCACTACTAAACCTGGCAGTTGGAATAATGAAGAGCACAGCATTTGATTGGTTGTTGCACGCTCATGCAGATTAGAGGGAACACTGATCCTGATAGTACATCCTAGACTCCATAAATTTAAGGGTTTCTGCTTCCTGCTGGTAAAACAAACTGATGGTTTTACTCTCTTTTTTTTTTATCTAATGATACAGTCTTGGAATGCATTTTCCAATTCAGCATGCATCCCAGTGACCCAATTCGCTTACTTGTATCAGCATCCAAATGCTTTTCATTACTTTGTTTAGTTAACTAATACGTCCTGTAGTTTTCTATGGCATTTCATTCTCCGTAATTATTACTAACCAAATTTTATACCATACATTTGCTAATAAGTAACTGTTTTAATGACAACAATGCATTAAAAAAGACATGTGACTGAAAACTAAATTTTATAGTTATTCTACTCCTAAAAAATTAAAATTAATTGACAATACTTACCTAATGAAGCACAAGAAGAAACTGAAATAAGTGGCATTTTCCAGTGAGCCCAGTCTTTCATAACACTGACATTTATGTCTTGTTTCCATACTTCAGAGGATAAGAACCCTTGAATAATATTTTAAAGGTTTACTTTTGTGAAAATATTAATACGACAAAAATATTCTAACAAAATTATTACTTTTTCAAACCATCTTGCACATATAGATAAAAACAAGTTTTTATGATTGTTCAACCATTTTCGTAACTGATTCACAATCAATAAGAAACCTACATAGCAGTAATGACTACTTAATTCTGTTTCAGATATTATTAACTACTTCTGTTACTTCAAACTATTTTTGATTTAAAATCATAAATAATATTCAACGTTAAACTGGTACACAATTAAAAACATTTTATTTAGGCCTATCTATGGCCTTCAAAAAGTTGACGTCAAAACATGTAGTCGTCGTCAACTTTTTGAAGGCCATAGATAGGCCTAAATAAAATGTT